TGGACAATCAAGTATCAAATAGGAAAACAGAAAAATACTGAGAAGAAAGGCACAGTTGAGCTCGTGCAGCAATTATAACACGCAAAGAGTCCTACTACACACTTATCCTAAATGTTTAGTTTTCAATACAAGTGGTACAAAGCATTCATTCTTTTGCCATGTTTAAATTCTTTTGCTGGCAGAACACGATCTTCAATTCACAAGACACTCATCCATGGATAAAGTGGGTTACATCTTGTTTGAATGAATACCATTTGGCTGCAGTTAAATCTTTCCTCTTGCTCATACAATGCCAATCACATATGGTAAATCAAAATTGGACGTAAAATGGGTTTTAAGTTCTTGAAAAAATATTTGATGACTTCTCCACAGTAAGCATTTACATTTAGCATTACATATACAGAACAAATGTATTTTCAAGAAAAAATCATCTCCAAACAGCTCTGTCTTATGTACTTCCTATATACCCAAATGTACACACAGAGCATGGATTCATGTATTTCATAAATATACACACATGCATGCACTGCGTAAGTTAACAGAAGTTACTGACTGCACTAGCACAAAATACAAAGTTGCCACTAATTTTCATACCAGAGACAACACATATATACTTAACAACAACTGCTATGAAAGCAAAATTATGATGAAGGGATATAATATCTTGGCTGATTACTGTGGTTCATAACTGCAGAACAGCAACTGAATTATTTGGTTATTATCCAAAGAAATTTACTTCCCTCCCTCTCTCCCTTCTTCCAACCCCCTCGACCCCCCCCCCGCCAAAAAAAAAAAAAAAAAAACAACAGTTGGTCAATATTTTATCTACAAACTAAAGTAAAAATTAAAGAATTAAAGTAAGCAACAAATGTAAAAATTGCCGTGTTCTCTGGCAGTGACTATTACAGTAAGAGCGTGATTACTCTTTGCATTCAAGTTAGCAGACTGGGAACTATTAAAAGAATTCTCTGTACAAAATCTCTTGGCACTCCTTGGACTGGATACAGAGAAAGGCGAATTCACAGTGCCAACTCTGGCTGCAAAGTTGTGCCCAAGCTGAGTTCCTAAAGCCAGGAATTCTGTTAAGCACTATTCAGGAATACCATAGCAGCAGATTCCATCCGAGCTGGCCTTCAGCCATGGCTAACAAGCTCAGACACACTTCAGTGGATTTCATGCAGCCAGCACTGCCCCCTCCCTTCTACATCCCAAAGAACACTTCATGCCTCGTGTCAGGTGTATGGCAGGTGCACTCTTCCAGCACAGCAGAGTTAGTCCTGCTCACACAATCTCATGCATCTCTATTCCTTTATTTCCATTCCATTTATTCTGTTTCTTCTCACTATTTTTTCCAATGCAATTTTCCCATGGGATTAATGCACAAGCAACACTGCTTTTTGCTGAAAATTCACTGCTGTTAAGTATTGAGAAAAATGAAGGCTTGAGAGGTTTGTTACCCTTTCATCATTTCTGCACTTGGTAATAATGCTATCTATTTGATCAGCAGGCCAGTACATCTAACTGCCACTTATCTCAGGTTTTTAAAACTCTTTAAATCTTATTGAAATTACTATAAGGACTTTCTAACCATTCATAAAAAATGAAATGGGTCAGAGTTCGTATTAGCAATTTTTGCATTCACTGTTTCAAAAACTTTAACAAAACAAATATGTTAGTGTTGGGTTTAAACTGAATCAGGAATCAATTGAACTACAGCATAAATACTGTCTCTTGCAGTGCTTTTGCATAATACTGTCAGTTGCACTTATTTGATTGCTTCAAAGCCCACCCTGTATGGCTATTGTCTAAGAGGTTGATGGCCAACTTTTGTCCACCAGTTCTTCCATTGTCCTTGTTTCTTTTCCCCATCGCCCTGTATTTCTCCTTTTCTTCGTCCTCAGTACGAAATTTCATTTCTATACTTCTACCCTTATTTTAAAACTAAAAGTGAAATAGAAAGAAATCTTCCCAAAATCTAGCTGCCTGCAGGATTTTAAACATACTTAATTAACAAAGCAGATCCTGATAGATGTTAGTGTTACTGTGAATAGCTGTTGACTAAATTTCAGAGAGCTCTTCTAGTTAAATACAACTGCCCTCCCCAGTTCCCAACACTGCCTTGAGGAGAGACGGAAAAAAAAGTTCTCAGATATTTCTTGCATACAATTTTGATTCGTTTTTAGGTTAACTTTGAAGTAGAAGGACACTACTTCTCTGGAAGCCCACCTAGGAAATCAGAGCTGATTCACATCATCTTGGTATTCAAGAAAACAGAATCACTATCTTCAATTCTCCCTGTTAAAAACAATGCCATCTATCTAGATTTACTCCTCATTACAAAATGTGGGATGTGGGGAGTGAGCTGACTAAACGGAGCAGGCTGGAATCCAGCACTACTTTCCATGTCTCAAGAAAGCTTCCAGAACATGTCTCAGTTCTCCCAGGAAATGAACTTCTAGTAGCAGATCTGCTGAAATCAACAGGTGTCTTTTGTCTTTTGGAAGCTATTAGATATTTCTCTTTCCATCCAAACTGCTATTGAAATTCAGGCTATGTGATTGCGTGGGACCTACAACATTAACAAACCTTTCCACGTACAGCTAGAAAGATCTACAGAACATCACTTTCCCCACACAACTAGCCTTCCAAACAGTGAAGAGCCTTGCATCAAGTTGAAAGCCCATAGCACAGAACTAAAAAAAAATTCAGGCAAAATCAAGCATTAAGGACTTCTTACCTCTCTACTGGGGGGAGTGGGGGGGGTTGCTAAAAAAAAACTTTAGAGGATGTCCCCAATACAGAAAAGGGGGGAAAAAAATGACAGCAGACCTTTCCAGTTTTCTAATCTCTACATCCCCTTCCTCGCATATTTTTGATATTGGCAGTATGCTGTTTGTTCAGCCAACTAATGCACTGCTTTCCAGCACCAGTTTTGGTATGGTATTTACCATGCACAAGTATAGACAAGACCTCCATATCTCATAGTTTCACATCCACGTTTTGTACCTGGAAAAACCTTCCTAACTTTAGAAGGGTGTAGATTCTCCCAGCTTTCATGGAATCTTCTTGAAAAGCCAAATAAGTGGAAGGTTTTCCTGAGAGTAACTCATGCAATTTTCTAGTCATGAAATTTTTCTACAGGTGAATTATGGTCCTTAAAATGCTTTCTCAATGCAGGATGTAAATACTCTCCCAACACTAAAAACATCTTTGATCCTCGAATAAGGAGATGGAACTCAGAACAGTATTGCCAATCTTCTGGCAGATTTATCAGCAAATTGTCCTAAGAGCTAAGGAAGAGAGAGAATGACAAATCTCCATTACTATGCTGTCTTTCCTTCCCACTTAAAGAATCTGTCTTCTAGATGACCTCTGTCTTCCAGATGACAGTTGCATGGATCTGGCTTTGTTTAGAGAAAGTCTACAAGAGAATGCTAACAAGGATACTGTTTCACTTAAATACTCTGTTGAGTTTTAAAGGAAAGGGGAAGAAGAGAGAAAATCTCCTTTCTTGCTTAAGGTTGATAAGACAAAGAAAACAGTATCAGCATGAACAACAATAGCAGCCATAATACTGCAGGATTTATCTGGATTGTAATTTTGTCAATTCCAAGTCAAGAACAGTGAGAAACATCTTGTAAAACCTTTCACTTGAGGGTTGCTGAAAAGATGCAGTCCTTTTTGAAGGAAATCATGCAGTGTTGCTGCAACTGATTCACCTCTTCATAAGCACCACTGCACTCTTAATTGTAGAATCTTTTTGAGGGTTTTATTCAGGTTCGAGAACAGTGGGCAGAGAGAAATAGATACACACTAGGACCAGACACTTCCAAAACTGGGGCACAGCAGACCTTGAATAATAGATTTACTACAAACCAGAGAAACTCCTCTTTGTCCTAAGTAAATTACAAATGCTACAGTTATTGCAATTACACAGCTAACTGAGTGCTCTCAAGTTAATAATAGAATTACAGCATGCAATCAAATAGTGAAATGGAATGAAAGATAGAAAGAGCAGATTAGAAAACTAACATTGACCATCAAAATCCAGAACACGAAAGTCACAGAAAGGAGTTAGAAAAACTGCAACAGAAAACCCAGTGAGTTTTAAGGTTGCGTGCATTTAGCTTTGCACGTAGTGTGCCAGTATCCACTGTTTCCCATAGTATCTGTACTTGTTACTGTTAGAGAATAAAAGATAGTTGGACATTTTAGAGTATTTTTTGAATACTTCTAGTTGAACTCACAAGCATGTTTGTATTTATCATTTAGATCCTACTGAAGTGTGATAGTTTCTAACATTGTACTCACTGTTACGAATCTGTACAACTGAAAAAAATAACAGGTCAAGTAAAATATGCAATAATACTTAAAACAGATGTTGATGTAAATTCCAGTGGACAGAAAATATTTGTTTCAATGTACGCACTTTCTTACAGCTTAATTTTCTTACATTCTGCAACTGCTGTATTTAAAAGCAGAAACTATTAAGACTAAATTTGCTTAAAAAACAGTAAGAAGTTGTTCCATAAAATCCTGTAAAAGAACTGAGTGTCCTGACTTTTAAAAAATCATGCTCCTTCATAAGACACAAAAAATTACTAACTATATGGGAAAGGAAAGGACGAATAACCAGTCCTTTATCTCACATTCATTATAAATTTCTTCATATTAATGCAGTCCGAATTACGTAAACTGTTGAGCCAATTGTGTACTATTTCAACAGGAAAAGAACATTCTTCTACCTTTGAAATTTTATATATCAAAACATTAATTGGGCTCAGTGCTTTGAAAACAAAGTCAAAAGATTTAGGAATCATTGTTGCTGCTGTTAAAGCTTTTCGTTTAAGCTGCTACAGTTATCTATTTTCCTTTTGATACAATGCAATCAAGTTGTGTCCTGAAGAAATGCATCCTCTAGTCACAACACTGAAACAAAACGCTATTTTATAAGGTTAGAGATCAAGAGTATGATTTCTTTTCCAGGTTAACAGACTTACATGATTTTCTGTTGGAAATTTTCAGTGGCTGAATCTGCACTTCTGGTCTTCTTAGTGCAAATCTCCTATAAAATGGGAGGTGGTAAGGTAAAGACACAAACTCCTTAGTTTTCACTGCAAATTTGGGATTAATAAACACTTAACATCATGAGACTATTGCAAAATATCCAGAAGACTTAAGACATAAGAAATTAACTTTAAACAATGCAATCTACTTACAGTGTAAAAATTAAATTCTGAGCCTCAAATTTTTGTAAGCTCTCCAAAATCTGTGCAGTTCTTATTTCTGCATAGTACATCAGTGTGAATAGAGATACTGATGTGCTATTTTCCATATGTTTTTTCTTTCAATCTGGAGCAGTGTTATCCTACCAGTTTTTGTCATTATTAGTTGTAGCCAGACTAATAAGGAAATCCAAAGTATTTCAACAACAGGTTTCCAAGTTCAATTGTCTTGCTACAAATGCAGGTTTATCGTGACCTTGTAATCTATGACCATACATATGACAACTATGCTAACTTAACCACTTGGAAAATAAGTTATTTCTTACCATAAAAGATAATGAAACTATGCTTCTCAGTAGCTCACCTCTCCTGGAAATGCTTTGAAGGGATCAAGCCTGCTCTGGGATTGGCATCACCTTCGTGTTTGGCCTGCCACCAGGTTGCATCATCCTGGCTCATGATCTGAAGTATATCTCCTTTTCTGAAAGCAAGTCCAGCTTCTTTACAAGGAATTGCTTTATCCTCATTAGGATCATAGTCAAATAGGGCTCTGATAAACATCTGAAACAAACAGTGCTTTTTCCTTAGAATCAAAGTATTAACATGTAATCCAAAGGTATCTTCTGTTTTTGCTTTCACTGTTCAAAAACATTGCACTAAATAACATAAAGCAATAAAAATTTACTGCTGTAAATCATTCTCATGGAAGTTTAACATCAGAAGTTAATAAAGAAATGTTTTATTCATTGCTCCTACAAACACAATCCCTATGTAGTAAAGGTTGCAAGATCCAACTCCCAAAATCAAAGAGAACTTCAGACTTTCCAGGTGTGTGCTCATATGAGCAAGAGAAGACACTTCTGAACTAAGGTGCTACGAAGTGCCTTTTGCCCACTGTAAGATAGGAGGAATACTTGGAGGGAAGCCAGGTGCTCACAGAAGATTGAGAATTACCTCTGCCAACTTCATCGCTGCAGAGTTCGGGCTTAAGAACCTCGTTGCACTCACCTGTAAATCTACACATTAGTATCGCATTAGAAAAACTGATGACTGTGGCAGAAGAGACGTTTTTGGGTTCTGCCATCTGAGCAAACAATGCTGATCCTCAGCAATGATGTCTACTGCGTTTACCTTCTGAAATATTCTTGAATACTTGCCTACCTTGCCTTCCTTCGATGGTGTTTCTTCCTTTACACTGGGTATAATTTTAAATGTAATTGCTCCTTGAGACTGAGCCTGTTGAACATTTAAAAAGATAATGCACAAAGAATTAAAAAGGCATTTTTCAAAGAAAACTTAAAAGGAAAAGAAAATTCGAATTAATTAAAAAATACTCAAAATACAATGAGTCTTTCCTCTCTCCAAATATTACTGATGGAATTTGACAGGCTTCACCATACCAGACTTTGAATTGCAAAAATTCCTAGTGTCCATTGATGGGCAGAGTTGGACTGCTGGAGTCTGGCACCTGCATGTTTTGAAGGTTCCACTTCTTCACTGAAAGCAGGAGCAAATGCTACAGCTAAAATATACACATATTAGAAGCTACTGCTGGACTCTTGGCACAGTTTGAACATCTCTGGAAAAATCTAACTAGCATTTCATTTTTCAGAAAAACCTGATAGAAAAATTCAGATACGTTTGTGCCATATTTATCATATAAAACTATTGGGGGATTTATTCTTTTGGCAAGTAAAAGAAACTAGAAAAGAAAAATATTTTTGAATAGGCTACACGTACTAAATGGAAAAAAAGCCCTGCACTATAAATCTTAAAACAAGTTAGCCATCATCAACCACCTCATCCATTCATCTTTCCCTGTATCCCTCTTTAAGTGTGTCTGGCTACATTTTACTTATTAACCACAATATATTCCCATTGCCTCCGTGACATTTTGCCATTGAAGGAAGTGCTAATCAGCTGGAGACTCTGCTACTATTGCATGCAGCCGACAAGTTTCATAAAACTCACAGAGTGCAACAGACAGCCAACGATTTAAGCAAAATGGAAACAGGCCTGTCCACTACCAAGTGAGACATACTTCTGCTTCATGTCTGCGATCCAAGAGCTCACTGTTTGACAAACAGCAGCCAAGTTCTTATTTCACCAGCCACAGGGCTGGAATCAATAATTCTGTTACTTTTGAAACAAGCTCTAACTAGCTTTTGATGTTTATATTGTACCTCAAGGAGGTAAATGGGGAAATTGTTCACACCTTTTGTAGTGCTATTGTATTTCTAGAGATTTTTAAATATTAATTTTTGCAGGAAAATATGTTTCTGTAGGGAATGCAAAGCCATAAAGCAAATACGAATGTCACTGAGCTAACACTTGAAATGGATCATCTTGGCTACTGAATCACAACAAACTGCCATTCAACATAGTAGGACAGCAACGTATTTATGTATGTAGATATGGGTGCACCATAAGGAGCTCTCATGACCTTCATCAGTTTATTTGGTGTAAAAATACTAAATATTTCCGGAAGAATCAAAATTATTACTTGCAGTAGTGATCCTTAAGTGAGTAAACAGGTTGGCTTTAGAGACTATGTTCACATATATCATATGTAAATCTTAAGAGTATGGTTTACAAAACAAACTCTTAATATACTATCTATTTTCCTATCAAGTACATGTATTATGAATTCATCTTCCCTTGGAGTTAATGAATTAGAAATTAGTAAATTTAAACATTTGAATCCAACAGATCATTATGGGTCTTATAAACTTCAGGTGATACATCGAGGTCTGCAACATATTTACCGTCACATAGTCATCATTAACTCCTTACAAGACATTTGTTATTGCTCAGATCTGATATATTTTTAAGAGAAATAGAGGTTGTAAATGATTTTACTAGAAGAAAATGACCTATTGTAACATAAACTATTTACTAAGAAACACATCAGAAATTTAAGTACAATCACTTGACTCTCCTGAATTAATTTTAGAATGTTTGTTATTTACCAAAATATGTATTATTTCTTCAGGTTTCTTATCATCCACAGGAATCCCATTGACTTCCCTGAGTTCATCACCAACATGAATAAGACCTACAGAAGGCAAAAACGAGTTGTTAAATGGTAGCTATGTATAACACAAAAAGTGCTGTCAACACTCAGTTTTTTCCTTTAAGTTCTTACTTAAAAGCAGGGATATATGGTGAACACAACTACAGCTACTGTCCCCATAGATAAGCTTGAGACTGTTGATTTATTCACCTCCCTTCCTTCCTCCCAAAAATTAGTATGATTCCTCTATGACTTTTCCAGACTCTTATGCAGATGTTTGAAAAATACCCGTGCCAATTCTTTTTCTACTCATACTACTTGTTGCTACACAGCTGCAAGTACTGCAAAGATGACTTAAGCTGTGAGTGCTAATTTGAGGTACAAATGTTTCCTAATTTAATGATATTTATACAGATTTACTCCACTATCCTATCTAAGTGGGAAACATGGCTCTTTGAGGCTCTCCTAAATGAAAAGAGATACATTAGGAGAATAATTGCAGGATCTCCTGCTTGAGTTCTTGAAGATTTTGAGGACCTGAAGATAAACACTGGATCCAGGGGTAGTCTGGTATTTTGATGATTACTCCAAAAGGATGCACTAATATAAATAATGCAGCCATTCTGAGTTCCTCCATCAGTAGGTTGTACTATTGGCTTGTCACATCACTTCTATGAGGAATTCTTCAACTGAAAACAAACCATGATAAATCTCCAAACAAGCAAACAACACCCCAAAAAACCCACCAGCTTTCTCCATCTTCTAACTCAGATACCTAATTGCCAGAGATTTCAGGGAAAAAAATCTGCACAAATACTTTCACCAGTATCACTTTGAAAAATTATCCCAAGCCTCGAATTCTTTTGATAGTGATGTATTTAATGGGAACAAAACAATCCCGTTTTACCACATCATCTACATTTTATAACTGGAATGGCTTGTGCCAAGAAGCAACACCTTACCACTTCTATCTGCAGCTCCTCCACGCATTATCCTTGCCACCACAATTGCACCAGTATGTTCATCCCTTTTAATCGTAGCCCCCTTTAAAACAAAAAGGTTGCTCGGTTAGCTCAACCATAATTTAAACTCCCAGCAGTGAAAAATACTTCTATGCAAAAACGCAAAAGGTTGATTAAATGTCTATGCACGAATAAGCCAGAAATGATACTCGCTCATGCAAAGAATTACAAACTATGTTGCTCTGTTACCAATCTATTAAAATGTGTCCTTTCTTTATTTTAGTGGTGAATTCATAATGCAAACTGCTTTGAAAAAGCACAAACGATATAAAAAGTTTACTTACCAATTCAATGTTAACTGTAACTGTAGACTATTTGAGTCTGCTGCTAAAATAGCGCTAAACTATTGTTGAGAAGTGACAAGCTGTGCCTGCAATAAGGGCCTTCTTACCTCCTATGGTTACAAAGTGTTTGTCTGTGCTCCGAATGGTTGCACTTCACACTCAGAACTGCCCATGCAGGCACTGATTTATATTTTGCTTTCCAGTCATCAATAAACCCAAAAAATGCTTTGTAATCAGAACTGTAGGGGTTTTCCAAAAAGAGGCTTGAAGTGATGAGCAGGATTCAGGCAGTGGTAGACAGGAAGAAATTCAAGGACACCAGAGCCTGGAACTGCTGTTTAAGAGGCAGTGGCGCTTCTTTGAAGCACAGCAGACTGTGAGGTGAGCAGACAGTGGCCCTACTCTGCAGGGCAGAATCCCCAGAATGAAGCAGATGATTGTAGCTATAGAAGTCATACTGTATAATCACTTCTAAGACGGTTACCCAATCTAGGTTTTTCAAAACCAACACCAAAAAAGCACTTCCTGGCCACCAGTTTTCTATCTGCATGTGATCACTTACCATGTTAATGTAGTCAGCAACAGCTAAAACACTGTTCATCAACAAATGTCTATAATGAATTCACTGATTAGTACCACTTCAACTCTGAGCACAGCAGTGCTACGTGTTCACTGCCATCACTGATCAGCATTTCCTCCATCAAAGGAGGCTTATGATTGAAATAAGGTAAACAAGTATTTCAAGTTCTTTGACTAAATAAATTGATTTTATACATAGCTTTCTATATTTGATTAAAAATGGGTATTACATCTAGCATTACTTCATTTTTAAAGTATTTCATGAACATAAAGCTGAAATATGTGCAAGTAATGGGGATGACATTTTACTACAGTTAACAAGTTTACCAACTAAATAGACTAACTAGACTTTTACCAACTAAAAAGAAAATCTTCCTTCCCCTCTGCCTCTAAGATGTAAACATGACACACCAAATGAAAAATGGGAGATCAATTTATTTTTAATATATACAAGCTGCATTTACTGCAACTAGGAAAAAACTGCCTCAGAAAAGTTCATATTGTCACTAAATCATTATTTTTTGTTCAAGCTTTAAAAGTAGCCAACACTCCAAAGCAACGCTTACACGCTAACTCTGTGCATTTTATTTTACATCCAAAGTTGTTCTGTATGAAATTTCATCAGTAAGCAAAGTAATCCTGCAATTTGTCAAGCTTATTCTTATGCCCTGCATATAGTGTTGGTATTTGTAGGCATTTGTTTGTATGTCTTACTATGATCTCTATTTTAAATTAGACGGCGCTTCAGAAAAAATAAGATGTGGCTGCAGCTATTCTCACTGTAAAAATTCATTATTAGACTTTAAGCAAAATGAATATGGCAGTATTATGAATGTATAAACGTGGCATTAACCCCACTAGCCTATGCCTCAATATTAAGCTCTGACTTTGCAGCAACAGCAATTAATTTAGTTTATTGTTAAAACCCATAAAGCTGCACCTGTTCAAATGTACATTTTTATTTTTATTATATCCATCAAAAAGAAAAAAACATTAGGATGCAACAACCAAATATAAACAGAACTTCTACACTATATTGTCCACACAAAACACAGGCTCCCTCATTCATCAGTTAAAAAGCCCTGAGCAGAGACTCCACACCATTCACTTGGAAGTTGATACTGTTAAACTCCATCTGTGCTTAACTTCAACTATCTACCTGCGTAAAAGTTTATTTCCCTCCTGTTTATAATCCCCTTTTAAACACTGGAAAGCTGCAGTGAGGTCTCCTCACAGCCTTCTCTGCTCCAGGTTGAACAAGCGCAGCTCTTTCAGCCTGTCTTCATTGGAGAGGTGCTCCAACCCTCAGAACACCTTTGCAGCCCTCCTCTGGAGAATATACTGGCACAGATTGACTGATTTGAAAGATGTCCCAGTAAAGGTAAAAGGTAATTTGGGATTTTCACACCAAGCACATAATCAAGCCAGAAATTATTTAATCCTGGCTATGTAAGTGTTAAAGACTCCTTTATGGCAATCTGAAAATGAATGGCTAGACCCACAGACTGCCTGAGTTCATGTATATTTGATGTACCTACAGAACAGAAAGAAAAAAGGGAGTTGTTTAACCTCCTCTTCACTCCAAATTTGGAATACTTAAAAAGAAATCACCAAACAAATGGATTTCTTGTTGAGCACTTGAAGAGTTGTTATTTTGAAAAAGCAGCTTCCATTATGCTGCTGCCAGCCCTACTTAAATTATGAGGTATATATAATCTGGCAGGAATTTCTCCTTATGAGATGTTCAGTCCCAGTACTTGCAGTTACATGTGCAGTGCAGCTCCTCATTTAGAGCTTCAGAAATGGAAGAAGGTTAGGCTGGATCTCAAGAGCTGGAAAATATTTTCAGTGTTGCTTGCCAAAAGTGTAAGTTACCCTAAATGAGACATATACAGATGTAATAGCATAGCTCAGTTTAAAATACTTTTAAAGGGAAAAATAAGGAGTTAGGGAGCCGTATGGTGATCAGACTGAGAAAACGTTTAAAGGTATACTATGCAAAAGCACTAAAAATAATACAAGGTCCTTCAGCAGGGAAGAAGATTGTTTTTAATGCAGAAGCACTGATTGGTGAGGATCACTCAAGAGTTTCACAAATGCAACCTTTAACAATTAAGCCATTTATCTGATGGTTCCAGAATAGAGACAAAGACTCTATTTTTTAAGAAGAAAGAAGACTTCTATAAAGTAATTTACTAATAAAAGAGTATGAAGTATCAGTTTTTTTTGCATACTTTTCTGTTAAACAAAAACGTATGCAGATGTTGAGAGTAAAGGAGTACTTCAATAAGGTCTATTTTAATTCATTCTTCATTTAGGATGTAAATGAAGACATCAGTTACCCACTTGATAGTGCAGTTATTTAAAAGTTGATGCCCATGCACATTAGACTATACACACTAAGGCTGTCCCTGCACCCTAACTAATACTACCTATAACATGGCTGTGTTGATTCAATAACAAGAACTGAACTGTAGGGGCTTAGAAGAAAAGGCACAGAGGAAGAGCTGGGGAATCTCCATCAACAAACATGTATGTGATAATTTCTAATCACTACGATTTGTTTCCCCCAAGTTCAGCTGTGGAAATCAAATATCTAGTTCAAGCTAGGTGTCAAGGCTACTGCTGCAGTTAATGAAAACAAATAGGCAGCTCCAAAGAATGAATTAGTCATTCCTTCATTAGGACACGTATCTTAAATAGAAGGAATGACTTATTCTCTGAAACTGCCCGCTTTTCTCTTGACTGTAGAATACAGTCCTAGAGAAGTGGACTTTGGCATCAGTAAAAATCTTCCACACTATCTGACAAAAAGCCTAATTGCAATCTGGTGATTTTTGGACAATCTCTGGGAAAAAAAGATATCTCTACTTCTCTACATATAAGATTCTGAGAGATTCTAAAATTACTTTGTTCAGACAAAACCTCCTAACACACGATCTCACCTCACTTGAGTAAGAAGCTCTTTGAACAGCATTTGCTAAGAGAGCATTTAGAAACAACAACAACAAAATTTGTGGATGGATGAACCAAAAGTTTAAATTATCTCGCACAAAAGAAGTGGAGGAAAGTTAAGCAATGACTTCTGACCTGAAGAAAACTGGCAAACACAAGGCCCTCCCACAAAACCTGTTTCCCTCTCTTGTGAGATGATTACTTCTAGGGACTCAGGCTTCATTAATATGTGATTAACACTGGTGGGTTGCTGAACTCAGAGAAAAGCACAAAGGAAATGTGGTTCAGCTTTACACAAAAAGGTCACTAGATATACTGCAAAGAAGTTCAGAACGTGCCTAATTCACTTCACAGAGCACTGTTGAAAGTAATCCAAAGGAGATAGTCAAAGTCAAGAATTTCCAGGCCTTGCAGCTGATGTGAAGCTTACTCCATCGCAGAAAAACAATCTCTGCTACTTGCTTACAAACAGAGAATGAGAATGTATCCAAGGTGAAAGTAAGTTCAAAGAGCTCAGTATCTTCTAGTCAAGAAATCAGGTAATTTCCATCCCAGAAAAAATACTGTATGGTCGCAATCTGTTCAAAAATTCAGCAGGAAGAATTCTGATATATTTATGCAAGTGAAAGTTGCCTTTATGACTGGAAAAGTGTGATTAGCTAAATTGAACAAGCAGAGACTCATTGATCTGTACTCAGCCAGGAATGTGCAAGTCTTCAAAACAACCTCTAAAGGAAAAGCAATTAAAAAAAACAATTAAATAGAAAACAAAATTTTAAATAGTCTAATAAGGGCATATCATGGCATATCTCTTCTTTAGTAAAGCAACTACAGGAAACACAAATGCAATGGTTCTAATACACGTAGTGAAAACCTGTATTCAATTATTCTGCCATGCCGTACTCTGTTAAGACCTTAATCACAACATGTTACCTCTCACCCATACTTAAGAAAAAAATAATAATCTGTTGAAGACCAAAACAACAAACAAGTTGGGTATGTATTATGGCAATGCTACCAAAACAATAAGTGAACATAAATCTGCATCACATAAATTAGCATCAGACATCAACATTAATATAAAAATGGAATGAAGGGGAATTATTGAAGGGGAGGAGGACACTATCCTCTTGGAAGTCTTCTTGGAGAACAAGCAACATGTAAAACAGAACTCACCACAAGCTGTTCTCCAACAAAAATAAAACAGCAAGATAGGTTAGGGATTTGGAGAGTTCACAAGTGCTCCTTTCTCATGCAGTTAATGTTCAACCTTAGGAACATTAACTGAAGGGAAGCTTTAGAAGTTGTTTAGTCCAGCATCCTGCATACCTCCTGCTCAAAGCAGGACTACTGCCAATGCGAGATGAGGTCAGCCATTGCCTTACGACAACAGGCTGAAGATGCTACAAAGTCTCTGGCCAGCCTCCTCCAGTGCTGCATCTCCCACTGAAAGAAATTTAAGAATTTTTCTTAATACTCAGTAAACACCCTAGGGCTGCATCTTGTGGTCACTGCCTCATGCCCTGGCATCTTTCACTGGTAAGAAGACTTTGACTCTAATGCTCTTGAGTGCTTCTTACTCTCAAGTAGCTGGGGGCTGCAATTAGCTTCTTTCTACAGACATAGCAAAGTAGAAGTTATGGATGCCATTACAAGGCTGTTCTCGCATTGATAATTAAACTAAACAATCTGATAAGAGAGGAACTGAGCTCTCCCACGTGCTCATTTCATATTGTATTTTCTGATTTCTTCACATATTTCAGAATAAACATTCTGACATGAAAGCAAGTTTACTATTATTATTATTCAAATAATTTCTTAGATTAAAAAATGCTTGAAGTTATTGAAGCTATGATTTAAATATTTTGAGGGGAAAAAAAAAAGAAAAAAAAAAGATGTTTAAAATGTTAAAACAAACAAAAAAATTTTCATATGGTCAAACTTTTAATTATGTCCACGGGCATCCACAGTCACTCAAAAATAAAACTTTTTTTCTTTTTTATTGATGCCAGAAATCCATCAAGTGTGATGGTAAGATCTACTGACATGCTATCCCTGTATATTTAACAGAGAAATCACTCTCTGTGTCATTTCAAGTGCAGAATTGTGGCTTTCTCAAAGTAATTTTGCAGGTATCTCTGCAAGATTGCAATCCATTGAAACAAATACCCAATATGACACAAAGCAAAGCCCGTACTGTTTTGCCGGAAACAAGACCACAGGTAAATTTTATTCAAGATTACTCCCACACTACAGCAAATAAAAACAACCAAATAAGTAAAATATTTTAATATACTTGTAACACAATCTAGTTTTAGTCCTTGCATTTTTCCAGATATCCCCATGAAGATATTAACTTTCTAGTATTCATAATCCAAAGTACAACAACAGACATCTTAAATTTGCCCAGATTTCAATTCAAGCATTTTAAAATATGTTTTTATGCTTTCCTTTCAGTGTATCAAAAGGTCATTTATTTTTATTTTTATTTTTTTTAAACACAAGCACAGTTCATAACCAAGGTCAAGATTTCTTTGGGGATTCATTCTCCCTCTCATTTTGAAACAAGTTCATGATTCAAATTCAAGAGAAAGGATGAATATATTACATATATAAGTGCTCAGGCTGGCCCACATTTATATAATGCTAAAACATCATGAATGAGCAAATTCTTACTATTCATTTCACGTACTTTACTAATAGTAACTGAGAATGGAATTCACAAGTATATTACTGAATGTCATGACTAAATGTGAACAATGTCCATTCACCTTGATAATGTTATAACTCATATTTATAAAGTGAACACTGCACACACAGAAAAAAAATAAACACAATAGAGAGGAAAACTTACCAATGGTTCCCTGTTTTTGACAAGTCTGATTATTTTAACTGAATCTTCTTCCTCATCAATATCATCAGGCATGGGAGGCAAGACAGGATCGTAGTTCTTCTGAGCAACAGTATCATGTACAGAGAGCAAAGCCTGGAAATATTAGGAGTCATGTTATTTGGCATCAGAAAAGTTCATGAAAGACAAAGCAGAGGCTATTATTTATAGCCTGATTCGATCAGCATGATGCAACTAGATTGAATATAATTTTTCTATGTAATTTTAACATATGTAAATGGTGATGAAACAATTCCAGAGGGTATATCTTTTCATACACACAACGTATGTATCTAGTAAACCCTGGATGCAGTTATACGCATGAAAATATTGAGTGCTTTGCACATTAACTGAAATTACAATTATTATGGTTAGGAAAAATCTAAATTGCCTAAAGTAAGAAAGAACATCATTCCACTCCTCCTCAATAAAAGTTTCTTCAGTACACTAAGCAGTCCTATGAATCAAATAAGCAAAATAAGCATCTTCTAGTACATCTGTTCAAGTATCAGGTGCACGACATTAAGCTATTGCCATTCCCTTCAGAGGAACTCTGGAAGCTGACTTGGTTACTGGATCCCTTTCATGCTTACTCCCTTTCATACGTGCTCCAAATTATCCTAGGAATGTTTAATTTATTGTGGAATTCATGACTGAGATTGAGGAACGCAGTGCTCAAATGATTTGGCTTACCAACCACCTGTCACATCTTGCCCCCTTTCCTTCTCTTTGTAGTCTCTCCAGTTCATGCATGGATTGGCCAATAGATCCATTAAACTTTATTGTGACAAAAGGCTCAATCTTAACAACAAGATAATTTATGACCTTCCCAGAAACTCAAGAGTCTTGAAATCAAAGGAAGTTGGAAAGTTCATTTTCCTAAGGCTTAAAAAAATCTCCGTTACAATCCAAAGTTCATTTCTCTTCCTAGATACAGAGCTCTTTAAGTTCTTTTCCATTTCAAAAAGCCTACAGGATCTGTAACATCTCTTAAACAGGTGAAAAATAGTTATATAATGCTTTTTCTTCTGAAATGGAACTATGCAATACAGCGGGAATCACAGCAACTGCCAAACTTAGAATTGTAGCTACTGCTTTCAGTTGCTCCTGTTTTCATGTATTTGCCCATCAGAACCTGAATATTTTACATTTCGACCTGACATTTTTGCCTAAAGAGTCAATCTTACTAAAGTTATAGTCAGAAACCAAAAGTAATTTGCACAGTGATAACCTCACCTACCATAAAATGAACTCTTTTGGAAAATGTTGTGATGTTTAAGATTATGTAGAACAGATCAACCTTGATGACATGGATGACATGAAAAACTATCACATCAGTGACTGTTACAATGAATCTAAAGGAACAATTATAATAGTAAACACCTTAATAAATAAGAACAGAAAACGGCCACATTTCTCTGACGCTAGTTTACTTGCTATAAAGATAACATCCAACTGAATATATAAATCATGCAATATATTACATTCTCAAGGATAATGCATGTTCTTTAAAAAGCACATTACGCATCCCTTGTGCTATCAGGACTTTTTTTACTGACTAAAAGAGACTGTAAACAACTTCCAGACAATGCTGCATGCTATTCTGACACAAGCAGATGAGAAAGAGTGCATGGCAGCCCTGAAATTCTGCAGTTTCAATTGAAGTCAAGTCTTCAGCACAATAAACAGAAGGCAATCATGCCTGCTTCATGAGAATTTGCTATTATTGTCTTACTGATTTCTATTCATATTGTACAATTTGATAAAAACATTTTAACACTGTAGCTATATATTTCTATTTTTCCTCCCAAGATGCAGTTATCAACTTGAACTGTGTACCACTGCTACCTACTAGCTCTCTCTCACCATAGATTAATTTTCCTTCAGGTCTCACCTAAAAACCTCTGGCGAGCAATTATGGTTCCTTGTGGAAATGTGTACCGTGAAGCATTACAGTTGTAAAGTCCATGCAATCACATGCGGTGTTCTGACGATGTATGTGAAACATCAAAGAAACACTAAAACAAAAGTAGCATTTGCTTCAACTTTGAGCTACTTATAGTTAAGACCTCAAAACTTCTGTTCTGCAACGACATTTTTCCACATAAAACTAGGGCACATTCACAGACTGGTTCAGCTTAATGAGGTTCTATATTGCAGTTTAAAATCAATCAAGCAGATAGAGAAAACAGATGAAACTAATCTAAAGTACCATTTCCATAGTAAAAGGCAGTGACTTATAACATGCTCAAAAGAAACTAACCTTGACAACAAAACTTGAAAACCAGGCTCCATCCAATACCAAACAGAACAATGCTATCAGTGTTAATAAGATGCTTCCCTGCTTCGACTGCTAGACCATACTCCCAGACACAGCATGCAAAAAAGCCACACAGCACAAGCATTACAATCCAATTTCAATCCAAAATCAGTGTCTGATCCTTATGATGCTTTTTCTTCACTCACAGCAACTGTAACTAATAAGCCCCTTCCCTCCTTCTTCTGAAAAATATTTTGATCCACATTGTACCATACTTTCCCCCAAACTCTGCCATTATTTTATCTCAAAGCAAAGTTGCATTCTTCAGGTAGGAGTATGAGGGCCAGAAAATATATGCTTTTTTTCAATCAAGTTTCCAGTAAGGCTTCTGTCATCACAAACATTTTCATGCCGTACCTCTGAAAACACTAAATTTCTTGCCTGCTCGTCTTCCATCTCTTCTTTTAACACACTACTCTCTGTCCACAGCAGTTGCTCTTGAATAGTAGTAGAGACACTGCACAATCATTAATCTGCAAGTAAAACTTGTGAAGTTGTTTTGATTTCACTTAATGTTTCAACCAAAGATGATCAGCGTATGTCCTTAGGAGAACTTCCACATGTTTCATACACATGAAAAAACAACTGTACTCAGAGCAAAGAGCCATTGCTTCAGCAGCTTCTTGGGACTGTGTATTTAATAAAATGTATGCTTAGTCCAAAAAATTATGCATCAGACTAGGCTATATAAAAAAGCAAACAAATTACAGCCGCCAAGAAATAAGCCTTGGATTCGATCCTGAACAAGATTTACACAGAGTAATTGTGTAGTAAATTCATGAGGCAGTGTGAAGCCAGAAATGTTCCCTTTTTTGTACATAAGAAGTGATTAACTTATTCACTGCAGTTTTACACTGCATGATATTCAGGTTTGCCTAGGACAAGAAACTGTAAAAAGTGCAGATGAGTTTGTTGTTGTTTTTGTTTACAAATGCACCCCTCTTCAGAACTATGCACAATGACTGAAGATCAGGGTCATGCATATTTAAGCACCACTGGAAAAGAAGATTTTATTTCAGCTCTAAGTCCTATGCTTATGATTCACTAATGTAAACATGGTCCATATTTAGAACTTGAAAGAAGGTATGATTCAAACTCCTGCACTACCTAAACATAAATATTGATGTTCAGCTAAATTCTTAGACATGATCTAGCTGGAAATGAATACTTTCATCAGACCTCTGAAATGTCTAATAGCTGGTGCTGTATTTTTCATATTGCAACTATCACTGGTCATTTCACAGTTTATAAATTGAAATCCTACACTATCAACTTACACAAAGAAAATCTGACATCGAAAACATTTGAGGTTCTTTCTCTTAAACTGTTCGGAAATTTTAAATGTTTTTTTTTTTTTTTTTTTAATTGAGATTGTTATTAAAGAAAACAGTTCTATGGTTTGAAAAATGTGTATCATTTAACTAACTGAATACATTTTTGCTCCTATAAAACAATGACAAATTTCATATCACTTTTTTCTTCTGTTTACATTTTGAGATCTGCATGAACAAAAATACCTCCAATAACCATGAGTTGTGAGCACAGCTTCCTGTGTTTATTTCTGACTATTTTAAAAACATCTCAATTTAGGCTTTGCTTTTCAGAAATATTTTGTCTTTACAACTCTATAAAAACATTTTAGAAAACAGCAAGTTGAACAAAGACATGAGAGAATGGATAAAGGAACAAAAGAACCTTTCTTTATCTTCTTGAAAAAATGTAAGATTGGAAAATTAGGTAATTAAGAGTGAGGACTTTGTTTCTAAAGCTGTGAGGACTGCAACTAACCTTCAGGAAAGTAGACAGCTGCAGCAAATTAAGCCATTGCCAATCCCTCTGCTTGTTACTTTGCCTATAGTGGAGATGGCTGATCTGGCAGCAGTCAGCAAAACACCACAGAACGGCCATGACTTTGCTGCCTTGAACCACAGCTTGGACCATTGGCACAGGCCACATTTCCTGGCAGTTCTGAGCTGTGTCAGGTGAGACTGAGACATTTTCTCACCTCTCTGCTTTGTTATGTCGATTGTAACTTCCGCTGAGGCTGGGGGAGAAAATCTACATAGGAGAACACTGAGTTCACTTGCAAGCACAGCAATGTGACCCTCAGCTCAGCTGGCAGAGGTCTCACTCTAGAGAGCTGTTGCTGTATTTTATTTCCCTTTGTGTTAAGGTTACATAAGAAATACAGAAAGATAAGCTGAAAATATCAGTGGGAAAACTATTTCACACTGGGAAGACTGATTTATGAGGAGACTGAATCCACAGAAGGACACTGAGCACCAAAACAGAAGGAGGAGCATAAGAAGCAGAAGAGTTAGTTACATACAAGAATTCAGAATACAGCAGAATAAAACCAGCAGAGAGCTGAAACCCAGTGGTGATGGCATCCAGGTTCTGGGCACAGAAAAGAAATGAGACTGGAGAACAGTTTAGAGAAGAGAGGACTAACAACATAAAATAGTTAGAGTCAAGCTGTACCATTAAGGACAACTGATAGACAGGGCTAAATGAACAGGGAGGTAGGAATTTAGGCAAGAGAAAGGTGGAAAAAAAGAGAACTCTTCTTTCTCTGCAGAAGAGCTACTCTTCAAACTTACTATTCTCAAGGAGTTCATAGGGTGGACTTTGCATTGCTGTAGTGCAGGAAATACACATAGTACACAGTGTTAAATAAATCATTTAACGTCCTATGAAATGACATGTTTCACACGCTATTTAATCAACATAAGCAAAGAAGCTTTGACAGTGATGGTAAGAAAACTGAACAAAGAAT